TAGGGAAGGGAAATATGTGTATAATGTAAGAGCATTACTTGCAAAGAAACCAAAACTATTTATTGGAAGGTCATAAAGTAACAGTGACAAGTATCTGATACTGCACAGAGGTACTGCAACTCAATGGGATATCACACAAAGAGCATTGGTACAAAATTAAAAATGGAACTCTGCTGTCTGGAAGGCTATTCCTCTTCAAATTGCTTACAAAATTTCTCCTCTGCCCTGTGAGTCCCTCTAAGCTATTTCCAAGATAAGCCTCTATTTAAACTAAGAGTTCACGTGCCTCAGACTCTATGAAATTTCCGACGAATCCTGGCCAAACGTTGCTGCTATCCACTACCTGGCATTTTCCTTCTTTTACATCTCCCTAAGTCATGATTTCCATGAGCATTTTGTTCCTTACATAAAAAACGTCCTTTGAATAGAGAAAATTATTTTTAGATTTGCTTTTCTTTTGATGTTTTGGGCTGGATTTTTTAGCACCATATCCTAGTGTTTTAAGGGGAGACTGACAGTAGAAAAAAGCAGTAATAGATGAAATACAAGTTTACTAAGCAGAAAATATAGTTTAATTACAATTAGAAAATGAGTCCCTTTGTTCAGACCCTCCCACTCAATGTAGGCTGCCATTGGGGCAGTAAGAAGGGGTGGGAGGTGAAAGGGTGGAGGAGGAGAACAGGCTTTGAATTAAGCTGCATTTTGTTGTTTGATAAACTAGTAGCACTTAATGGAGCACTTTAATTCCTAAGCTGGACTCTTTACATTTCAAAACTGTGACATTTTCCCATTTATTTTGTACTGAATTTCATTCTTTACTTTGTAGTGAATATAGATGTGTGTGTGCATATGTATTAGTTGAAAGAGGCAAAATACTTACCTCTTCCAGAGTCATGTTCTCCCTTGTTTTCTTCCCATTTTTGTATTTCTTTTTAATGCACACTGCGGTTGTGATAGTGACAATAAGCATAACAACAAATACAGCTATGGATGAAGAAACAGCTATTACAGTATTTTCTTTAGTTGAGCCTTTCCTTTCACACTTTTCTCCCATGTACCACCAGTCTGAACCTGCTGGACATCTAAAAAGTAAAAGAACAAATATATGTTATCACCTAGAGTTTAAAGGTGTGGAAAGATTTGCTCAAGAAAAATAGCATCTCTAGTGCAGTTGCTATATCTCAAAGCAAAATGAAGTTATCTTAAAATGGACTTCTATTTTAAAGTTGTCTTGAGTGGCCCACTGTCCTTACGCATATGAATGTGCTTCTTTCACCTTCCTGCTGCTTCACAGGTCATGCCTTCAGAGAGAGCTTTTGCCAGAAAACCCAAGTGCCTTCCTGATCCTCTTGACTGCTCAACACTTGGCTGAAGCTTTTCTATAGAGCTGCTCTACCAAACAGTAGTGCTCTCCAGGCTTCTCTCAACAGACAGCAGCTGAACCAAAACTTAGCTGCAGGAATTCTCCAGTTCAAGGACTGAGCTAGCTGAAGTTTCCCTTCCCTACTCAGTGCTTCACCACTAGTAGATGTAGTACATGCAGTACTTTGTAATCAGACCTTCTCATTGTCATGAGGGGCTTATTTTCAATTTTAAAGAACTTATATGAGTTGCCTCTGTCCTCCCCTCCAGAAGAAGGGAAGAAAAGAAATGAAAATCCTAGAAATTATCTGGTTTTAGGACCGAAAAAACCCTCCAGTTCCCTACTCAGTGCTTCACCACTAGTAGATGTAGTACATGCAGTACTTTGTAATCAGACCTTCTCATTGTCATGAGGGGCTTATTTTCAATTTTAAAGAACTTATATGAGTTGCCTCTGTCCTCCCCTCCAGAAGAAGGGAAGAAAAGAAATGAAAATCCTAGAAATTATCTGGTTTTAGGACCGAAAAAACCCTCCAGGTTTTGATTCCATCCCCTTATCCAGCATCACAATCAGCTCCGAAACATTTTATGAGTGAGAACAAGGATCCAAATGGTCTAACTGACTGCACATCTGCCCCTACCTTTTTAAACTTGGTTGTTCCTTCTGTATTGATTTTTTTTGTTCCTAACACGTTTATTCAGAAATACCCTCAACCCTGAAAATGAGTCTGTTTGCAGAGCGCTACAAAGATACTAGCTATTGGGAGGGACTTCAAGTGAGTCACCTTGAACAGACTTGAACAGAAAATCAGAGCGGAAACTGCCTGCTGGTCACATATTTCTGTAGGACAGAAAGCAGGTCACAAAGGCACTAGAGCTTCAAATGGTCCAGAGATGTCAGAAAATAAATGTTATCTTTCCAGAATTTTGAAATCGGGAATAATATTCAGTATAGTTTTGGGGATTTTTTCTCTTCCTGAAACAGCTCCTTGGCATTTACTCATATCTGTGACCTGCTTCTGACAAATTTATCAAGAATTGCTTTTTAAAAGGCTTCTAAATGGGGAGATATAACACTTAGTGAGTCATCCTGACTCTTGTGGCTCTTGGCCTTTAGATCTTTGCCTCACAGCACTCCCTCAGTCCACCTGCCCTGGCACAGCATCAGATAAGGTTGCTATCTTCAGCCTCAGAGCTTGTTTGGGAGCTGGAACAATGCTAATCAGTCAGGTGGGTTACATAAACTTATCCACAGAGAATTAAATAAAAGTTGATATTAATCTTCTTGCGGGGCAAACAGTGTTTTAGTCCTCAGCTTTCATTGCTGCCTTCAAAGGCAAGCAACTACATTTTGGCAATTCATGGTCATAATTTGCACTGCACAATATTTCTGAATCAAAATCTAAAATACTGCTTCCTACCTGATAAGTATTTAAAATATTTTCTACTGATATAAATGCTCTTTTCTTTCAACCGCATTTAACTCTTCTACATTTTGCTGTCAGAACCTCTAAGGTTATATATAACCATGGGCATGACCTAAAATAATAAACACATTTAAAATGTAATTTACAGGGAAGTCAAGCAGAGTACCTAAAAACGGTCAAATGCTGAGGTTAGGAGCTTTGTTGCCAAATTGGTCCTAAGTTCAGTCTCACAGGAGCAGTCAGAAATACTGGCCTTCATCAGCTATAGTCTGAATTTCCTTTCATTAGGAACAGAGATCTATTTTATTAGAAAATTTCATTATTGATCCTAAAATTGCATTTGAGAGTGAATTGAGAGTTACCTGCACACTGGTGCACTATTTACTATAACACAGACACCATCATTTTCGCAAGGGTTGTATGAGCAGAAATTCGGAACCTCTGTCTCTGGCTTTTCTACCCCGTTGCTGGTGGTGGTGGGTGCAGTGGTGGTCGTGGTGTGAATGGGCTTGTTGGTGGGGGTAGGGGTAGGTTTGTCTGTCGCAGCAGTAGTGGGCTGAGTTAAGAGTAGATGTGATATATCTGCACGATAAAACCACAAGGTCTTTAGTTCATGTTATTTTTCTTATTATTCTAATTGTCATTTCTAATAATAAGGAACAAAGAGCCTGTCCACAGCTATAGTGGATAAACAATTCTATTTTACCTTTCAGGAGCATAGTGTATTTTGGAAATGTCCTCTAGGTATTTTTCAGAAGCAGATAACTTTATTTAAACTACTCTATTCAAAATAATTTGCAGAGGATTAGCATTGGTTTATACACTTTCACATGAGATAAAGGAATGGCACCATGCATGTACCTATCCACAAACTGATTCAAACATATGACTTCACTTTAGATACAGATATAGTTCAAAAACTGCTCATGTGCAAAGTACATCATGTGTATTTATATCTACAGCACTAGTGACTTAGTATGTGACACTGTTTACTGCATTGTAAAGAGTATCAGCTACGTTTACATACCTTCCACTGTTAAAAGAATATAAACACTATCTTCTTTAATATAGTTGTATCTTCTAAGTCTCTCATGAGTTAAAAATGCACTTGTTCCAACTGCTGGACCTCTCTTGAATGTAGTTCCATTGGGAAAAGTTGCTGTGGATCCCACTTTACCGGGCCTATCCCAAAAATAATCTGAGGATTCTGGGGGATAAAAAAAATAAAGACAAGAAAAAAAGAATGTGAGGCTACTCTGGATTTGCCACTCCATAAAAATCTCAATCGCCTGAGATTCCACACTGCTGAGATGCACAAGACAATGGAGATCTTCAACAGGTTGGTTTAGCCTGATGTATTGAGTAAAGAACCTGCTGGAGATGAGCTATTGGAGAGCTAGTTGAAAACCTGATGTATTTTCTTAGTTCTTTAAAGTGTAGTGGACAAGAAGATAAGCAGCACATGAATCATCTGTAAAGTCATTTAATGCAGTGCTTCTCAAAACAGAGCATCTATTGCAGTAGAGGTAGGGTACAGGGCACTTGAACAACCTGAATGATCATGGATCACTGATGCCCACTCCATCAAACCCTCTTCTAAATCTCAAAGCTGAGCCTGACTGTCTATGAAAGTATCTGACAGAGGGAGAAGAAACTGCCTGCTCAAACACCTCACTGGTTACAGAAAGGGTAGGTGTTACAAGGCTTCTCTTGGGAATCTGGGACTGTTAGCAATATACGAATAAACAAGGGAGAAGGAGCAGAATGCAAACAGACTGCATGTCCACAGGGTCATGGAAGGAAAGGATCTAAGCACTGTGGCCATAAGAGCAGAAAGCACAGGGAAAATTAAACATCTGTGGAGGACCTGGTGTGGTGCATCTCTCATTTACAGGGAGGACATTTAGTTTTTCTAGATTACCTGCTTTATTTTTGTGTAGAGCCAGTGCCATAGGAAGATGAATGTAAAACATAGCATTTTAAAAATAATACTGTGAATTAGACATTTTCATGCCTTCCTTCCTTCAGTGATCTTACAGTGAAAGCCCAGGAAACTAATTCAGTGATGGAGGTGGTTTCTTTTGGCAAACCACTTATATAAATGTACAAAGTCATTTTGGATTAAATCCAATCTTTGTCCAATGATGAATATGAGTGTTTTCTCTAATGTCTCTCTCTCTCTAGAGATTCCTACCATTTCCCAGAGCTACATCCTTACGTCCACTGCCTCCTTTCCAAGTTATTGTGGACAATTATCCCTTATCCTCTCACACCTTGAATCAGAACAGATTATGTTATATCAATCAGTACTTTGACCATCTGGAGATTTGTGCTGTCACCACTGTACCTTTGACAAGGAGGGTGGGGATTTGTTTAACAGCTGCACTTTTATCTGGTATGAACTGGGTGTATTGTTAATTCACTATTTTTCTTTTCAAGCTTTCTGGAAAACGCCCATACTCATTTAAACAGATATAAATAAATAATAAGGTATTAAATGCATCTTCACAGAGCATATGAAAGAAACTTTAGGAGTGGGTCATCCACCTGTGGCTTGTGCAAATCAACTTTGAAATCCAGGGTCCCAGCTTAACCTGCTTGCAAGTTTAATTTTTTTTTGTCTATGGATGAAATATATTGTTGCTGCAAGCAAATTTAACATTCCAGAAGCTAAAAAACCTGCAGCAATTTACACAAAGAAAAGATGTGACTCCTTGTCTTTTGGATGTGTTTTACACATACTGGACAGCATGTCTGGTTTTGACTAACCTGTTAATTCTGTAGGGTCTGTTGTTACACTTCTTTGATTTGACATCTGTTGACGAATATCAGGATGCTGGTCGAGCAGAGTCATGGTAGCTTGTTGCCATGGACAGGGCCATTGCAAATGATCATCATTTGCTCCAGAAATCAAGGAAAAGTATATTCCTAAATTAAATGGGCTATTAGTGGTACCATTTACATACAAGGCGACCTGAAAAGCATATCCTTTACTAGAGTAAAAAGGTGGACTGTATATCTTTCCTGCTTCCCCTGCTGGACTTGTGTTGAGGAGATGTGTGAAATTTCTGATATGCCAGACGTGGTGGGGACACTGAGTTTCTGACAAGTTGATGTCGTCTATAGAGAGGCCTCCATTTGATAAACCATTTCCTCTCACGCCTTGAAACACGACCCGGAATTTACTTGTGACATGCAAAGAAACATGATGGAGCTGCCAGTAAGCCTCAGGTGAACCTGAAAAACAAGGGTAGAGAGTCCACAGTACAGTCAAACATTGCACAGGTTTATGGACCTTATACCAACACAGTGTAAGAATTTCTCAGTTCCACTGGCACTGTTATGATGAAATATTTCTTCGCTAGATGTTACTTTTTGAGTGCAAGACCGTATTTTCTCAATTCAATTTTCCAACAGATTTAATACACATAATAGCACTTTCTTTTGAGTGAACACATTGTTGATGGGTTTTAAAACTTTTTCTTTTACATTTTAAAAGAAAATTGCATTAATTAGTCCAAATGTTGTGATAATTAAATGCACAAAGATGGCGGTCACCTCTATTATTAAAAAGAAAAGATTCACAACATGTTATATTCAAATAACTGAATAACAACATGTCTCAATAAAAAAAGTGCTACAGAGGATTCTGAGAGCCTAGAACTACAAGACTGGTCCATTCATTTGGTTTTGTATATTTAAATGGCTTGTTGGAAGCTTGCCTGTGCAGGAGCACTATTCACCCATCAAATGATTAATGGTACCAAGTTTGAATTAAAGCCAGTCGTTTTCAAAACCTACTTCATGTGATAAAACCTCACTGCAAGTCTGATGCAGCATCCAAAAGTGCTTGCACAAGCAAATTCCACTTGACTCCGAGAGCAGCACACGCAAAAGCAAAGACCTCTGCACAGGGGCTTTGTGAGGCCAATGAAAGTAGAACACTCTTTGTTAAAAGTATATACAGCAAAACAGTTTCTTTTGCTGTCTGGTCTCCATTCATCTGCACTGAAGAACAGACTTTCAAATGCATTTAGGGAATAAGCAGTGCCAATGCCAGGTACAGAACTCATGCGTCACTCTCCTAACAATCCAAAACACAACACAAGGGATCTCAGAAGTGAGTCTTAATTTATTGACATTTTTCATTACCATTATAATTAGGAAGAAAAAGAATAAACCCATTAACAAGCAGAAAAGCACCCCACTGTTTTCCATGAAATTGCCTTCTGCATAAACTAAAGGCTTTTTGAACTGCATGGGTTATATGCAAGACTGGGGTTTCTGACTCATGTTCAATGAGCAGATCAGCTACTGTGCTACAAAATGTCCCACTCCCACAGCCTCCCCTCTGAGGGCAGCCACAGCTGCCACAGACCAGAAGAAAGGATTCAGGGCTTGGCCCTCAGTCTTTTGAGCATGGGGGTTCAGTGCAAACCCACAAGTAGTTCAGCCAGGGTGTCAGATCACGGCTGCAAGGAGCTGTAGTCTCACTGTTTCTTCCATGTTGTTGACTGTGTTGGTGAGGGTAACTTCTCACATGAGAGAAGTGGAAAAAGCTTGGGGAGAAAATGATCTTAAGCTATTCCTGAAAGTTTTGCCAGAGATTGTCAAAATAGGGTGCCTGTTTGGACATGCATGTGAGACTAGAGACTCAAAA